TCCAATTACGTTTTTTAACCATTACACTCAATTCTTTGCATAAATTCTCAGCGTCTGAATTGAGCTTTTTTCCCAAGGGTTCATTCTTGCTCTAAAATATAAAAATTATAAAATTTTAACAAATTTCTGACAATTTTTTGTTTAAAAATTTTAAGTGTCCCCTCCATATCCTCAAGATTATTTTTTAAATATTGCTTCAATCCCTCATTCTCAATTGAGTTTATCTCATTTGAGTTTATCACTTCATCAATTGTAATTCCTTCATTCAAACAAAATTGAAAAAGAAAACAAAATGAAAATAAACAAAATTTTGAATTCATTTTTTAATTCTTAAATTTTAATTTAATTAAATAAATTTTTTTTAATTTAAATAAAAATAAACAAATGAATAAATAATATAATATTAAAAATAAAATACCCTTTATGAGGGGGGAGAAAATATTTTTTGCCCTTTATTTTGAGAGTCAAATGCTTTAATCTCATGATGGCCCATGATGAAATACATATTTCTTAATAAAATTAAGAAATGTACACCCAAAAGGTCAATAAATGACTGAAAATGTTTTTAAATTTAAAAGTTGTTTAAGCAACAATAAATGTCTTAAACATCTGTTTTTCTACGTCAGAAGCCTCTCTCATTATCAAATACCGAGTACCTTAACCAATGCTTGACTTTGGGCGTTCTATGACTCCGGCTTTGGCCATTAAAAGTCTTAGCCTTCCAAACCCTTCACTCTTTGTTTAACATAATTTTGTTTGAATGAAGAATTACCGGAATTAATTTTTTAAGAGTTACCCATACATAAAAGAATTCGACATATAGGGGTAACTTGTAAATAAAATTAAATTCACGTGAAAACCCTTAAAAGAGAGACGATTATATAATTTAGTCATATTATTTTAATAAATATTTTTAAAGTGCAAATAAACATAAAGGGCAATTATACTAGCATGTAGAGAAAAAATAAGTTTTATAAAAATAAAAAAGATAACCCAAAATAACAACGGATAATTTACTTCTTAGCTTAGGCAACTGGAATAACCTTCTAACTGATATGTTTCATTTTAAAAATTTTGTTAATTTCCAGCTTGTTCTGCACAACAACGATGACATCAGCAGAACATCGCCACCTCAGCTCAAATTGACCTCTATAGGGCACAGATTTAAAAAGTTATGCTCGACGATGATACTCGACTATTTGTTTGTTAAGTTAAAATATGTTTGCGCTTATTAATTGGAAATTGAAGCTATAATTATTTTTGAGGCTAAAAATATTATTGGGGACTCTTTTGGTAAATAGTGCATAATTACGGGGATGATATATTCATTTTTTTATTTAAAATTGTCAATTAAATTTTTAAGTACGCTTATACCTTGATAATATTTTCAATGCAATTTTTAATTAAATTAATACATCATTTTCTTTGCCATTTTTAAAGAAAATATTTACATTGACAGAAAATTAATTCATAAATTTTTAATTAAATTTTAGACTTATCTTTCAATTTATTCCTTTTACTTTATGTGGTAAAGGTTAAATAGACAGATGTTAAAATTAAAAAAATTATAGAAGTTGAGTAAATATTTGCGCAAATATATTAAACAATTGCCTTATAATTAATTAAGACATAAATTGTAAATTTTCAATACATTTTTAAAAGGTTATTTAGTTTTTAATAAAATTGAAAGGCTGTCAGCATATATAAGATATACCCAATTGAAGATAATTTTGAATAGCCCCCTCCAATTTTGATACAACAGATTATATAATATATATTCTTATCCTCAAGGAGATATTTCATATATATTGAGAGCCTTCTAACTTGATACTAATTTGAATGGCACTGAATAATAGTGAATCGAATTTATCTACAAATGTCATATTTGCACCATTTAATGTAAAATTTTAACAGTTAATCAAGGGCTAGAGCTTTAGGGAATTATAAATTAAGAAAAGTTTAGTATCCAACAGGGAATTATGAGGAGGTGTTGTGTATTAAGGCCATTAAGTACCGAAAATCTTTATATCTATTTCGAGTTCTTACGAAAAACGTAATAGTTTCCTTTTCCGCTAAATTCCTAATAATAATTATCCAGAATTTTTATTAGAATTTCGACTTTAAAATAATTTCAAATTATAAATAAAATTTAGGATGAATATGCGGCTTTAATAAATGCTGGGATTTCACCGATATTTTTAATACCAGGACTTATTTACTCCTCGATTGCAATTATTGGAATTCCTCTAAACTTAAGTGTTTGTTATATAACAGTTAAATACAGGTTAATTGGAATTGCATTAAATTTCGTTACTCCCTTTACTTCCTTCAACAGATTTTTCTTTATGAGTATAAAGAATAAAATTATAGCTCGGCCATGCTAGTTTCAGTATGTCCGGTTCCGTTTGGACCATTGAAAGGGAATTTAAATTTTCTGCACAAAGTTTGGTCAGTGGCCCAGTTAATTGACATGAAATTTTTCAAAAATCGTCCAAACCTACATTAAGTGCCATCGGAATGGATAAAGAAAATTTAGGGAAGGAAAAAAACGGAGGAACAAAATTAAAGGTTACTTGGAGGGTGAAAATAAAAATTTTAGAAAAAAATATTCTGCACTCTCAAGTAATACATCAATTCTTCTGGTTTTCAACTCATTTTACGAAATTCTGCACCAATCCAACCATTTTTACTTCCTTTCTGTAGCTCTGAGTGGGAGAAATTTAATTCCCTTTGGAAAATCTATTTTCTTTAATGCACACAGTATTGTTGGGTTTTTTTCGGCACTTTTTATGTTTAACTTACTCAGTATTGACAGACTTATTGCGGCAGTATTTCCAATTTAGTAAGTTATACGGAACTAGAACTATATCAAATCCAGTCCTAATTTATTTATTATCAAGTTATCAATGTATAAACAAGAAAAAGTACATTAGTCTTCATGTTGCCATTATATTATTTTATGGTTCCTTCATATTGTACAAAATAGTGTATTCTGCCATTAAATTTTCTGATGTGCTCGTTGACGGAAATTTAAATAGCGTTATGGGTGTGATGTACTATAATGACAGTGTTATTACCGTATTTCCTCAAATAGTACGGCCGGCCGTACTATTTTTCAACCCTCTTCTAAAGGGCCGTACTATTTGAGGGGGCCGTACTAATTGAGGGGGCCGTACTATATTTCAACCCTCCTTCGGAATTTTATGAATAATTTTTTTGGTTATGCCACCTTGAACTAAGTCTGTGTGTATTGAAATTTTGGCCGTATCTGAAAATAATGCTGCAATCATATTTTTTCCTTATTCTTAAAAATGGTTGTCCGAGTTCGTCCGTGTTTTGTCAAAACTGTCCGAGTTTGTCCGTGTTTTGTCTGTCTGTCCTTGTCCGTCCGTATTTTGTCTGTCTGTGTCCGTCCGAGTCCGTCCGTGTTTTCTGTCCGAGTCCGTCAGTGTTTTGTCTGCTCGTTTCGTCCGTATGTTCTGTCCGTCTTCGTCCGTGTTTTGTCTGTCCATGTTTTACAGGGTATCACGACTTTTGCGCCGAGAACATTTGCGCCGCGACTTATGCGCCGCGACTTTTGCGCCGAGGGACTTTTGCGCCGCGACTTTTGCGCCGCGACTTTTGCGACGGGCGACTTATGCGCCGCGACATTTGCGCCGCCATTAATTCAAAAAAATAAAACAAAAACTACAATCCGACCTCACTTTATTGTACCCCTCGAGGTTAAAAAATGGTATCCAGGAACTGAAGGAAGTTCAGGGTTTACAATGGGGGTACGGTAGCTGATGAATTAGGTCTGGACCATAAATGATGAATTAGGTCTGGGCCTTGGAATTCCCCGGATTCGATATCACAAATGATTTATGATGTGCTGACTTTTTCGGTTCAGAAAATTTGCCTATATCTGCTAACCCTATTCCGGCATGATTTTCAGGCCCAAGAGGATGCATTATATCGAAGGTGCATTATACACACACTAGCGTGTGTCTAGAAACAGACTTAATCATATGCCTAGATCCAAACTGAAATTACCAAAGACCTTAAAATTTAAGGCTGCATTTAAAATGGCCTCCATATCGAGTTTTGTTGTGTGTTTTGTCGAGCGTCAAGTGTTAGGTTTGTGCAACCGTGAATAATTAATTTAAAAGTTGAGAGATTAAGAAGAATTAGAGTGATTAAAGGGGTGATAAGAAGTCGGGAGACTGAACGAGATATTGATAAATTATCTGACTATTCGTTATTCACCTTGTTCCCAACTAATCCTTTTAAATTCATCCATACTGAAATCACGCCAATTCCATCGATATCCTTCCTAATCCAATAAAATCCCCATTAATCCACCGATATCCTCTTAAGCCCTCCAATTTCTATGCCAATAGATATTAAGATTTAATAAATTAGTTAAATATTGCGAGGAATAATTACTATGATTAAAAATTCAAATTTTGCCTATTTTTATATTTTTTAGGTGGGGGCCGTACTATTTGAGGGGCCGTACTAATTGAGGGGGCCGTACTATTTTTCAACCCTCACCTAAAGGGCCGTACTAATAGAGGGGGCCGTACTAATTGAGGGGGCCGTACTATTTGAGGAAATACGGTATATTACTGCTAATGTCTCCTTTAGTTTATGCTCCAGCTTTAATTTCTTATTTGATTGTTGCAGTAATACTGAAAATTAGGGAAGGTTGGTTCCTTAAAATTTGGCTTTAAAATTTTTTTATAATTCCGATTTGAAAAAACTTTGTGGTGTGGGGGGAGGCTAACTAAGCAACAGAGGTCGATCGGAATTCCGATTTCCGAAAATTGAGCTCATGTCCAAGTTCCATTTCTGACAGTTCCAATTTCCGGCACCTTCGTCATTTCCGATCGACCCCTGCTGAGCAGTACATTCTGTTTAATAAACCTTATTATAAGATAGAATTTATGTATCCTTTGGTTAGCTCTTCATATTTTGCTTTTAAATTAGGAAAATTGTTTCTCACTCCTTCTGATCAAAGTATGTCAAAAGTGTACAGATCTCTGTTTTTGATCGTTTTTGTTAATATGGGAAGTTATACATTTGGCATCATAATGTTTACATTATTTACTATACTAACTACTTTAAATTTTATTTCATTCAATTTATTAAATTTTACAATTTTTGGCACTATTGGTGCAACATTCATTAATTTTGGCAGTGCTTCAAATGCACCAATTCTTTACATAAACAGGTAAATTAAACACAAGAAAAAAACCACTCAGGATATTTTTTATGATTAAAGGATTTAACATATACGGGCCCCTATCATTACTCTTTTGATCTGGAAAAATCTAGCATTCTATAATTTAAAAATAGAATTGGGGGTAGGGGGCACACTTCTAATAGTATTTTTTCAAAAATAAATACGTAGTTGAGAGCGGATGTGGGTCAGAATTCCGATTTCCGACGTTTTTTCCTTCCGATTTCTGAAAAAAATTTAGATTTCCGATTTCCGAGTTCCGACTTTTAGCCATTTCCGATTTCCGGCAGTTCCGATTTCCGACACCTCGGGCTGTTTTGACCCACCTCTGGTCAAGACATAATAAAATAAAAATATTTTTATTAAATAAAAATCAAAATTTTTAACTCGTCAATTTTTCAGCAGCGACTATAAGGAAGCGTATAAAAAAGAATTTAAATTTATTAAACGTTTATTTTTGTTTAAATGGTTTAAAAAGCAACAAACAACAACTGTCCATCCAATTATCCAAAATATTTAATCTTCTAATAATCATTGGTGATTAGAAATTTATTGAAAATGAAATTAAACTCATTCTATAACCGAGTAAATTCGTTCATGATTATTAGTTTACTTATCACAAATATCATGAACTTCAGTGATTCCTGAATGTTCTAAATGTTTTCTTTTGCGTTATAACCTTTGATATTTTATAATAAAAAATAAAAATCAAAAAAAATTTAGCAAACTTAAAATTCAAAAATTTAAACAAATTAAATATAAATCGTTAAAAATCATAATAAATTCATGATAATATTTTTATTTAAAAATAATATTTCATCAATTCATTCGCTTAATTTTAAATACTGTAATATGTTCAGATTCAAGTGGAGACCCCAAAGTTAATAAAAATTTAGCTTTTGGATTGTGTTCATTAATTAATGTAAAGCATATAGCTATTAATTTCCTAAAGCTGTGAAGTAGGCGGCGTGGTGTAATGGCTAACACATCAGTCTGGTCTACTGAAGATGCTGGTTCCCTCCCAGCCGCCGAATAAACTTTTACACTAGCTAAAGGAGAGAAATAGCTGTTCGACGTGCTTGAGGAATAGAATTAATTTTTTGGTGCCAAAATTTAAAAATTTTTGAGAATATGTGCTTGTTTTTAGCAATTATGGTTGCCGCTTTAGTGTAATTAAAATCGTTGAAATTAATACAAGTTTCAGTAATTTCGTCACAAATTTCCTTCAAAAATGTTTTTCCATCATTTAAAAATTTGGATAAATTATTCCAATTATCCTCTTCCACAATTACATTAAATTCATAAAATAATTCCTTCACGGATGATTTTAAATGCTTATATGTACAAAGGCTTATGCTTTTTCTAAAATTAAAATTTTTTTATTATCAAAAATATTTTTTTTACAATTTTTTCTTTCACAATGTTAAATTTATTCTCCAAATAAGCAAAATTATTTTCTAAATATTCCGTTACTCCCGCATCCTCAATCGAGTTTATCAATTGCTTAAATTCACTTGCTTCGTTGAAACATAATTGGAAAAGGAAATAAAATGAAAGCAAATAAAATTTCAACTTCATTTTTAGATTCTTAAATAATTTAGTAATTAAAATATTTAATAAATTAAAATTAGTTAAGAAAAATTTTTAAATTAAATGCCAATTATTTTTATTAAAGGAAATATCTTTTCCCTTGCATCTAGCTGCTCACACAGAGTCTTACGCAGCACCTTCCATAATGAACTACCGTATATGCTCGAATAATTACAATGGGTAACTATTGTTTCAACCTCTCTCTGGAGGGGGTAATTAATTGAGAGGATGGGCTAAATTTAAGGTATATCTCAATAAATCGAGGAGGAAATCCATTTATTTTTGATATTGATTCTTATAATGTTTCAATAATTAAAATTGACAATGATTCTTTCAATATTTTTAAAATTAGAGAAGGAAAGGGAGGGTGTAATTATTAAAGAGGGTAATTATTTGAGAGAGGTTAATTATTCGAGCATTTACGGTATGTTATTTTAAGTTTATATATGGGTTTATCATTATAGTTTACAATAAATATAAAAATAATTTTAAATATTTAAAAATAAAAAATAAAGTGAATACAACTATTCATTGCCATTAATTTAAAAACAAGGCCTAGGGAAGGCTTGGACAGCTATAAGTCCTTTGACATTAACCTTTAAAAAATAAGGACATCTGACGTTAATCATTAGTGAATGAGCTTTTAAAAGCTATTACACAACCTGCCCTTAAAATGCCCTCCACTAAAATGTCTAAATAAAAATCATTAAAGATTTCTCTAACTCTCTTAAAAATTTAGAAATAATTTTTTAAAAAAATTAATCAATTTAGAAATGAAGAGAAGAGGCATTGCAAGTAGGAGTAGTTAGAGAGTTAAAGAAATAAATTAATTATTTATTTATTTATTTATTTAAAAATAAAATAAGCAACAAAACGGGGTGAGCCGTATGCATTGTTGCACTATATATTAATTTGTACTAATTACCATATTTGGACATATAGAATTTTGTTTTTTTGTCTAAAAGTTGTTTATAAACCATTAATTTATATCTTAAGTGTCTTTATCTTTTTCCCAAGAAGTCACGTTTGTTTGCGATAAGCATCTGATTTTAAGGTTTTCCGATACCTTATTAACCTTATTTTAAACATATTAAAATACTATGACCTAAACCTCTTAAATCAAAAGTATGTATCTCTAGATTAATTTTAATTGAAGAGTTTTACACGTTTATCTAGTGTAGATAAACAAAGTTGTTATTTATGTAATGACAAAAATCATAATGGGAATTTAAATTAAATAATATTTAATTTTTTGTAAGATTTTTAATTCATTTTTGAATGAAAAATCATTTAAACAATTAGAGATGGTGGTCGGTTGACAATAAAAAAGGGTTTTAAATAACTAAAGGTTTAGAAACTAATCTTTCAACTATTTGTAATTAAATTTATATTTTACAGGATCAAAATAAAAATCACAAAACTCAAACTTAAAGTTATAAAATAAACGAAATAAATTAGAATAAAAATTAAGGTCAATTCATAAAACAATTTTTTGTAGAAAATTCGGCTCTTGTCCAGTTCATGCGTCCCATGAAGATTTATGCCCCCCATGAGAATTTGTGAGTCCAATAAAAATTTATGCGTCCCATAAAGATTTATGCGTCCCAAAAATAATTTTTGCGTCCCAAAAATAATTTATGCGTCCCATGAAAATTTACGCGTCTCAGAAATAATTTTTGCGTCCCATGAAATGAATTGAAAAAATATTCAAAAATTAAAAAATGCAACATTATTAGTAGGGTTGCACGATGTCGAGGGGTTGCGCGATGTTTGAGGTTTTCCCATTTTACCCTATACCTAAAAATCATCACCTATCCCGCCAGAAAATTAAACATTCAGATTATCCAAACTTTGTAGCCAACCAAATTATAGTAGATTATCAATTAGAAGAAGGGTATTTGAGTTGCCCAGGCTAATAGTAAAATTATTAGTTGTTATTTTGGGTTATCTTTTTTATTTTTATAAAAAAATATTTTTTTTTCTTGCCTTACCCCCCTTAAAGCAATATGACTTAAATTAATCGTTGCTCTTTTAAGGGTTTTCACGTGAATTTAATTTTGTTTACAAGCTACCCCTATATGTCGAATTCTTATATGTATGGGTAACTCTTGAAAAATTAATTTCTGTAATTCTTCAGTCAAACAAACTTTTGCTAAAAAAAAAAGTGAGGGATTTGGAAGGCCAAGACTTTTTATGTCCAAAGCCGGAGTCACAGAACTCCGGCTGGTTTAGATACTCGGTATTTGAATAACGTGAGAGGTTCCGATCAGTGATGTCAAAGTTCCAGTTCCGGAACTAATTAGTTCTAGTTCCAGAACTAGAACTACGGAACTAGCGATTATCTGGAACTAGCTTGGAACTGGAACTACGGAACTAGTAAATGCCAGGAACTAGCTTGGAACTGGAACTACGGAACTAGTAAATGCCTGGAACTAGCTTGGAACTAGAACTACGGAACTAGTAAATGCCTGGAACTAGCTTGGAACTGGAACTACGGAACTAGTAAATGCCTGGAACTAGCTTGGAACTGGAACTACGGAACTAGTAAATGCCTGGAACTAGCTTGGAACTGGAACTACGGAACTAGTAAATGCCTGGAACTAGCTTGGAACTGGAACTACGGAACTAGTAAATGCCTGGAACTAGCTTGGAACTGGAACTACGGAACTAGTAAATGCCTGGAACTAGCTTGGAACTGGAACTACGGAACTAGTAAATGCCTGGAACTAGCTTGGAACTGGAACTACGGAACTAGTAAATGCCAGGAACTAGCTTGGAACTGGAACTACGGAACTAGTAAATGCCTGGAACTAGCTTGGAACTGGAACTACGGAACTAGTAAATGCCTGGAACTAGCTTGGAACTGGAACTACGGAACTAGTAAATGCCTGGAACTAGCTTGGAACTAGAACTACGGAACTAGTAAATGCCTGGAACTAGCTTGGAACTGGAACTACGGAACTAGTAAATGCCTGGAACTAGCTTGGAACTGGAACTACGGAACTAGTAAATGCCTGGAACTAGCTTGGAACTGGAACTACGGAACTAGTAAATGCCTGGAACTAGCTTGGAACTGGAACTACGGAACTAGTAAATGCCTGGAACTAGCTTGGAACTGGAACTAGTAAATGCCTGGAACTAGCTTGGAACTAGAACTACGGAACTAGTAAATGCCTGGAACTAGCTTGGAACTGGAACTACGGAACTAGTAAATGCCTGGAACTAGCTTGGAACTGGAACTACGGAACTAGTAAATGCCTGGAACTAGCTTGGAACTGGAACTACGGAACTAGTAAATGCCTGGAACTAGCTTGGAACTGAAACTACGGAACTAGTAAATGCCTGGAACTAGCTTGGAACTGGAACTACGGAACTAGTAAATGCCTGGAACTAGCTTGGAACTGGAACTACGGAACTAGTAAATGCCTGGAACTAGCTTGGAACTGGAACTACGGAATTTCAAAAATTAAGTTCCGGAACTAGAACTACAAAAATTAAAAACATAGTTCTGGAACTGGAACTAGTTCCAGAGAAATTTTGGAACTTTGACATCACTGGTTCCAATGTAGAAAAACATTTATTGTTGTTTAAGCAACTTTAAAATTCAAAAAAAAACATTTTCAGCCATTTATTGACATTTTGGGTTTTATATACATATATTTCTTAATTTATTAAGAAATATTTTTCCATGTGCCATCATGCGATTAAAGCATTTGACTCTCAAAATAAATGGCAAACAAATATTTTCTCCCTCTCTCCCTCTCTCTCATAAAAGAAAAATTTATTTTTTAAAAATTATTTATTTATTTTTCATTTTTTAATTTAAATATATTTATTTAAAAAAGATTTAATTAAATTAAAATTTAAGAATTTAAAAATGAATTTAAAGTTTTGTTTATTTTCATTTTATTTTCTTGTTCAAATTTATTTGAACAAAGGAACTTCATTTAATGAAGTTGTTGAGTCAATTCAGAATGAAGAATTGAAGCAAAATTTAAAAATTCTGAATTTGGACGGAAAATTAAAGACGTTGAAAAAACATCTGGGAAACAAAGTAAAAATAAACTATGGCTTAATTACACTTTATGTGTCTAAAGTTTCGTTAATTTGGGTATTTAAAGCAGTCTAGCACATGGATACGGATTTTGCTATGCTATTCGTATCCGGATATAGCCGTGGGATAATATCCGTATCCATACGTATCCGTCCGATTTAAAAAACACTATCCATATCCGTCACACAAAACACTATCCATATGTTATCCGTATCCGTGAACATGCCTGATTTAAAGTAACCTATGGGTATGTAACATTTCTTTCTTTTAGGGACTTAAAATCACAATTTTGGACAGCCCGTTAGCTTATATAAATTTTGGATACATAGTTCTGTTACCTCCTGATTATTTTAAAAATTGATATTAGCTATCCCAAATTTATATTAATAAGCCTGAACCAAAGTAGCCTTATGTCTAGAAAACAAAGGAATGGGTACTTTAAAATGTAATAATTAACAAAAATATTCTATGATACATGAAGTATAATTTAGCCAGAAATTTTTTGAAGTATTTTAAAACTTTATAAATTTAGAAAAATAAATCTTTGAAAGAAAAGAAAGAAAATTTAATTTCAACCGCTAAAAATTTCTCTACTGAACTGCGAGAAATAGTAAAGGGAAATGATTTGACTAAAGTGCGTTCGCTTCTGACTCTTGGAAAAGAAGTTTTAAATGCTTGTGGTGTTCGTGGAGATGATATGGAAAATGGAGTGGCTTTACAGTTAATTGGGGGCAATTGGCAGTTATTCTCAAATCTTTTTGCTATTTGGAATTTAAAAATTAATTCCGTTTCGAATAGTCACAACCGCCGTACAAAGCGTGCTTTTAAAAGACAGGAGGAAGAGGAGGAACGTATGAAGAAACATAATGAGTTGGTAGCTGAATTCAATCAACATGTTGATGAAGCTTATAAATATGTTATCTATTGTTTAATGGTTAGCATCATTGCTATGTGTTTTGCTGTATATTTTATTACAACAAACTTTGTCTAATTGTAGCATATTCATTAAGCCTTTATGGCTTTATTTAAGAAAGGTTTATGTAAGATAGATTAGCCAAATGTGAATAAAAAAGATTCAGTGAACCAAAAATTATAAGGATCCTAGTCTCGGAGAAATTTTTGCCATCGTAAGGTTATTCGGACTTTTTTCGGGTCATTATATCTGGATCACCCAGAGAAAGTGATTAACTCTCTCTGGGCTTTTTATGTAATTAATTTTAAATGAAGAAGTTATAAAACTTTTTTCATATTTGGCTATTCTTTTTATTTGATTATTAAATTTTCGAATGCATATATTTGAAGGGTTTAAAAAATTTTAACAGTAAAGCTGCGGGAAATCTTATTTCCAAACACCGGGGATTTTACAAACTAAAAAGTTCGATTTGCTCGGGCATGGACGTATTTATAGTTAGTATTTTTTAAAATGTCTTGGTTTTTTTCAAATTATTCTTAGTTTCTAACAAAAACAAACAACCATAGTATAATTTTATTTTTATTTTTTGATATTCTTGATTATAAATCTATATTAGATTTTATAAAATTTATGTAGTTATTTTACATATTTATTAAAAGTACTAAATATTTTAGTTTGATTATTTTTATTATTGATATTATATTTAGATTATCTAAATTTTAGTATAAAGCATTTTTCAATTTTTGAAATATTTTAAACACTTAAAAATTAAGTTCTCTTCGGTCATCTATAAAAATATCCATTATTATGTAAGATGAATCTAAGGACTTTTTCAGGAGTGATTGAGAGTGATCAACCGAGAGAATGATCAGCTGGGAGAGTGATAAACATTGAAATCGATCAACTGGAACTTTAAAAATCATTTTTTATCACTTTTGTTGTGTATGGGCGTTAGCCCTTAAAGTGTTAGTATAAAAGCCCAGCCAATATTTAGTTCGTGGTCTCAGTTTTAGTTCTTCTCCCTACCCCAACCTTCGCCTGCTTTGTATTTCTTTGTGCAATAAACGTTTCTGTTAGCTTCCTCTACGTAACCGGGGACGTAACAGATTTGGCGCGGTTGCAAACCATTCTCGTCTACTTCGAAAAGAAAGTTCGGCAACAGCTACAAAAAGAAAAGTCCAGCAACAGCTACAAAAGAAAAGTTCGGCAACAGCAAAAGAAAAATGGCCCTGACAAGTAAAGTAAAAACATGGTGGGAAAACCATGAGTGTAATGTAAAGAACAGTGTCGATATTCTCCATGTGAGTATGAGTGTGAAACCTAAATGGTTAACAAAAAAAGTGTTAGTGAACGGAAACGAAGTGGAATTCATTTTGGATTCAGGCGCTCAAATCAGTTGTATAAATGAAGTGACATGGAAGAATATTGGTAGCCCAAAGCTCACTGGAGTGCCCTGCAAGGGTAGAAGTTTCACAGGAAACGAGTTTAGTATGTTGGGCAGTTTTTTGGCGAGTGTCGAAGTAGACGATAGTAAACAAGTATTGGTGACACATGTCACAAGTGAAAAATTGAATTTGTTTGGCCTACCATGGATAATTGAAGTTGAGAATAAATTGGGATATCAAATAGTGTCTAGTATTAAAAAGAGTGAAGAGCCGATTAAAGTGTTAGAAATTGAAAAGGCACAAAGTAAAATTAGTGAAATAGTAAACAAATTGTCAGTGCAGTTTAAGAAAGTATTTGAGCCAGGCTTAGGCCATTGTACAAAAATGAAGGCTCATTTGTATATGAAGCCAGGAGTGAGTCCAGTATTTGTACGGGCTAGACCAGTACCGATTGGCGTTAAAGACGCAATTGAAAAAGAGTTAAACAGATTGAGTGAAATTGGAGCTATTAAGCCAATTGAATTTGCTAATTGGGCAGCGCCTATTTTAGCAATTAAAAAGGCAAACGGCAAAACAAGAGTGTGTATGGATTATTCAACGGGGTTGAATAATGCAATTGAATTGGATAGGCACCCCTTGCCAAAGCCTAGTGAAATATGGGCTGAGATCCATGGAAGTAAAGTGTTTTCGCAATTGGATCTCAGAGATGCCTATTTACAAATTGAGTTAGACGAGCAATCTAAAAAAGTGGCGTGTATTAATACACACAAAGGATTGTTTGAAGTGCAAAGATTGCCGTTTGGAGTGAAATCAGCACCAGGAATATTTCAGAGATTGATGGATAAATTGATAAGTGGAATTCCTGGAGTGTTTGCCTATTTAGATGATTTAATAATAGTGTCTAAAAATATTGAAGATCATAAAGTGCAATTGTTTGAAATATTTGATCGAATTGAAAAGTGGGGATTAAAAATCCAGTTAGAAAAGTGTAATTTCTTTAAAGAAAAATTGAAGTTTTTAGGCCATATTGTATCTAAAAGTGGAATTGAGCCAGACCCAGAAAAGAAAAAGAAAATTAGTGAATTGACGCGTCCAAGAGACGTTAAAGAATTGAAGTCTTTTATGGGTACAATTAATTATTATGGGCGGTTTGTTAGTGAAATGCATAAATATAGAGGGCCATTAGATAAATTGCTTAAAAAAGAAGTGAAGTGGGAGTGGGGGCATGATCAAGAACATGCCTTTCAAAGTGTTAAAAAAGTGCTAAATTCTGATTTAATGCTAACGCATTTCGATCCAGATTTAGAAATAGTAGTGACAGCTGATGCATCGAATTATGGAGTGGGTGCAGTGATATCACATAAATTTCCTGATGGAAAAGAAAAAGTGATTGAATACGCGAGTAAGTCATTGAATGATGCAGAGAAAAATTATAGTCAAATTGAAAAAGAGGGGCTAGCATTAGTGTTTGCAGTGCAGAAGTTTCATAAAATGCTATTCGGCCGAAAGTTCGTATTGAGAACGGATCATAAACCGTTATTGGCCATCTTTGGCAAGAATAAAGGAATCAAAGTGTTCTCTGCATCAAGATTACAAAGATGGGCTTTATTATTGACAAATTACGATTTTAAAATCGAATTTGTAAGTACAAACCAGATGGGTATGGCTGATACATTGTCAAGATTGATAAGTGAAAAAAGTGAAGTAGAAGATAAAGTGATTGCATTAGTGGCAAAAAGTGAAAATTGTAGTGATGAGGATTGTGGTGAGGAGGACTCATTGTTAGTGGAAGAGTCAGTTAAATATGTATTAAACATAATGCTGGATGAAGTGCCAGTGAATGCCGAACAAGTGAAAAGTGAGACAGAAAATGATAGTGAATTAAGAACGATTAAACAATTTATTAAAAATGGGTGGCCAAAAGTAGTGAGTGATCCAGCATTAAGTATTTGGTCAAATCGAAGTCAAGAATTGGAAGTGATTGATGAGTGTATTATGTGTAGTGGAAAAATAGTGATCCCAAAAACTTTGAGGAAAAGTATATTGAAAGTGTTACATGAAACACATCCGGGTAGTGCAAAAATGAAAGGAGTTGCCCGGGAGTATATGTATTGGCCAAATATTAGTAGAGATATTGAAGATTGGGTCGCAAATTGTATAATGTGCCAAGCAGCGGCAAAAAGACCAATTAAAAGTGAGTTACGACCATGGCCAAATACAAATAGAAATTGGGAAAGAGTGCATATTGATTTTGCTGGGCCGTGTAAAGACGGAAAAGTGTATTTTATTGTAATTGATGCCCATTCAAAGTGGCCTGAAGTGTTCGAAAACATGACGACCTCAGCAAAAGATGTTATAAAGTGTTTTGAGTGGTTGGGAACCCATTACGGGTACCCAGAAACAATAGTGTCTGATAACGGAAGCCCATTCCGTTCAAATGAGTTTAAAGTATATTGTCAAAATAAGGGAATTAGTCAAGTGTTTAGTGCCCCGTATCATCCACAATCCAATGGGCAAGTGGAACGATTTGTGGATTATTTTAAAAGAATGATGACAAAAAATTGTAATAAGAAGAATTGGCTCAGTGAAGTGTTATTGTTTTATAGAGCCAGTCCTCATGAATCATTGGAAGGGAAATCCCCTAGTGAAGTGTTTCTTGGAAGAAAATTGCGATTGAATTTAGCGAGGTTAATACCAAAAAAAGTGACCTTCCAAGAAAATAAAGTGATAACACCTCAACAAGTGAAAATGAAAAGTTGGTTTGATAAACACCATGGAGTAAAAAACCGAAAAATCGGTAAGTTAGTGTATTTCTTAAATTACCGAAAAGATGGTAAAATTAATTGGTTGAATGGTGAAGTGGAAAGTAAAAGGGGAGTTATCTATAAGATATACTCGCCAGTGTTAAATGCCGTAGTAACTCGGCACGAAAATCAAATTAGAAATAGAAGCTTAAGTGAAGATTGTAATAATTTGTGGAAAAGTGAAAGTGTAAGTGATAGTGGATTGAGAAAAGTTGATAAACCACATAAATATGGTTTGAGAGAAAATATTAGACAGCCTCAAAAATTAGTGCTCACTAAGGAAAGTGTAAAAAAGTATGCTGAAGAGGCTATAAATTATCCAGTGAAATTAGTGAGACAAGTGGGAACAAGACAAAGATGAAAGATGTTGAAGACGATAATAATATGGAGATGTAGATGAGCCACATATATAAAATTTTGTGATAATATTATTGTTGTATTTTTTTTTATGTTTTTGTAATGTCGTATGTATTTTTTGTTCCCATTGTCCTTATCCCCCAAAATTATTGTATGTATTTTTTGTTTGTTGTTTGGCTGGAAAGTGTAAGTATATTGTAAAGCTTCGGCTTTTAGTGAAGCCGAACCTTTTTTTTAAGGGGGGAGGTGTTGTGTATGGGCGTTAGACCTTAAAGTGTTAGTATAAAAGCCCAGCCAATATTTAGTTCGTGGTCTCAGTTTTAGTTCTTCTCCCTACCCCAACCTTCGCCTGCTTTGTATTTCTTTGTGCAATAAACGTTTCTGTTAGCTTCCTCTACGTAACCGGGGACGTAACAACTTTGATATCAGTTCTTGATAAGAATCTTTTTTACGTTTGGTGACCAAAATTCCAGTGTCCAAAATTCCGTACACCGTTTAAAGTTTTCAATTTATTATTAAATACTTTGCTGAAAATTCATTTAGTCCCTGTCAGACCAACTTAACAAAATTTACTTTAAAATTTTTATTTTATTTTTGCACATTATTTCTGTATTCAATGGCTTTTACATAAATATTCATTTATTACATAAAAACAAGAAAAGCCATACTACAACTTTTGTTTGAATAACTCAAAAATAAGGTGATCAGACGGTGCTTCACCCCTCTTTTTCTTAGTATTTAGATATAAGTAGGTGTGTTTTGTTCTGAAAACCCATCTTTTTATTGCCATCATAAAAAATTTTAAACAAAATAATATAATAAAAAAGCCAACCCTTTAAACAAGATTTTTCAAAAGATCCAACACTTAACGTTAGTCCTTTAAAAACCCGTTTCTGAGCATTGCAGAACCACAATTTAGCTAAATGTGCTTCACCCGTCTTTTTCCTAGTTTATTTATTTTTCTAACCACAAGATTCCGACCCGGTCCCGACAGCCTATTTTGACCTAGATTGTTTAATAGAAAATTCTAAAATTTTATTCAACTTGAATAAGAGAAGGAAATCAGCTTTCACTTAATGTACAAAACCTCAATTTTGTTTTTTTAATTTATTAATAACTCTATTACCCCAAAAATTTATTTTAAAATAAAATTACAGGAATATCAAATTTTTTTAAATTAAATTTTTGCCACATTTTTTTGAACTTAAATTTATTCTTGGAAGAAAAAATAAATAAAAATTTTGGATATTTTAAATTTTATTTAAAAAAATAAGAGAATCTTTTGGTAAAATTAAATGACGCAAATTCTTTTCTAAACACATACCGTATTTACTCGATTAATTCCCCTGGGGAATTATTTTTTCAACCCATCCTTGGCATTTTTCAAACCATCCGTAGCATTCATAGGAGGGGAATTAGGTATTCGAGTTTTGAAATTTGAACGTGTTTTTGGAGGGGAATTATTCGAGTATTCAAGGGAGGGGAATTATATATAATAATTCCTATAATAATTAATATAATAATTCCCCAGGGGAGGGGAATTATTATATTATTATTATTCAAGGGAGGGGAATTAGGTATTCGAGTTTTGAAATTTGAACGTGTAGTAGGATATTTGGGGAGGGGGATTATTGTTTCAACTCATCCGTAGTAGGGGAATTATTTGAGGGAGGGGAATTATTTGAGAGAGGGGAATTATTTGAGGGAGGGGAATTAATCGAGTAAATACGGTATCTAAAAGAATAAAACTTAAAATTTAAAATTAATATTTTATTTCAGTAAATTTTTAAATTTAATTTTACATTTATTTTTTATTTAAATAATTTAGATAATTAAATATTAAAAAATTAAATTCTTAAAAATGACAAAGGTTATTTTTGTATTTTTTCTTTTGGCATTTTTGACTCTTGCCAATGCGGAGGTAAATTTATAATTAAATAAATTTTCTATAAAAAATTAAAAGGTTAAACATCTAATCGGGGCGGATTGTACAAATATACATGATCTAGGATTTTTGAGGATTGCCAAAATGATCCATATATGTACGACTGTATTGCTAGAAAATGTTCTTCATGCTGCCATCCTCATAACGGAAATTAAATCGAAGAAATGATAAAAATGGGAAGAATTGTTAATTTAATCTGAATACATATTTTTTATTAGATCAAATATTTAATTGAAAATATATATTTAAAATTGTTGGGAATAAAATGATTGAGAAAATTGACCATTATGGGGAGAAGGAAAAAATTTGATTGCAGCATTATTTTCAGATACGGCCAAATTTTTCTATATTTCTCCTCTCAAAATTTTACATTTTATTTTCATTATTGTTATTTTAAATTGAAAAGCTGATCTAATCGTTGATTCTGCATTGCAAAATGAAAATTTCACTGATGGATCAAATTTATTGACGATTTGGTATTTTGTGTATTTTACACCAAAAGCACAATTAGAAAAATGTTCGACATTTTTTGCTCTCTCTTTCAATTTAAAATTTGAGGCAGAACGATATTCTAACATAATATAGGGTACCATATTTGAACAGTTTGTAGATGTTTTTATATACTAAAACTTGAATTATGTCTACAAAAGTCAACAAGGAATAAAGGAAATAACTGTTAAAAAAGCCCATCCTGAAGTAAAGCAGAGCTGGGCTATAGCTATTTCTCTCCGTCAGCTAGTGCAAATTGTTAATCGGTAGTCTATGAGGGATAACAAAGAATAAAGGAAATAACTGTTAAAAGAAGGGCTATTTCTCTCGTTTAGCTAGTGCAAATGGTTATTCCGCGGCTGGGAGCGAACCAGCAACTTAAGTGGACCGGCTGATTTGTTATCCATTACACCACTCCTTTTTTAACATTCATATTTGTTCGTCTTCAAATTTTTCTTCAATCCCGCATCCCAATTGAATTCATTAATTGCTTAAGTCCAAACAAAATTGAAAAAGGAAATAAAATGAAAGTAAATAGAATTTCAAATTCATTTTTAAATCCTCAAATTAAATTAAAATATTTTAAAAAATTAAAACTAGTTGGAGAAAAAATTTTAAATGAAATGCCAATTATTTTTATTAAAGGAAATAAGTAATATAAAAATAATTTCCCTTGACATATAAAAATAATACCATATTTTCTGTAAAATAACCCCCCTCTAAAATATTTAATTGTTTTTGGGATTGTTTTTTTCAAAGTACAGTTGAATGGGGGATATCGGGGATTTGGAGGTATATATAATAAGTGGATTCTGATGGATATAAGGATGCCTCAAATGGATGGGTGCCGTTTAAATAATTCGAAACAACCGTTAAATTAGAAATCAAAAAATAAAAAAATTAGATAAAATATTCAAAAGTTTTGTAAAATAAAGGGGTCTAAACTTTATTATTAAAATAGTAATAGTTCTAATAAATTTAATATACCCAAGACCATGTACTTATATTTACTTAAAAATATGTCACTTAAATTAACAATGATGAATCATCACAACAAACTGAAACAACTTTTAATAAATTCTTAATGAGAAAAAATATTTTTTGCAAAATATTAAACATCTATTGTTCGCTTATTACGACTAAAAATTATTTAAAAATTTAAAAGTTAAATTTTTAGATATTTTTAATTACCTAAGACTTAAATAATATTGTTATTTTTAAATAACTAAAAATGTATCTTATTTTAAAATTTAAAAATTTAAGTGCTCTTTATGATGTTTAAGAATGTAAATTAACCGATATTTATTTTTATCTTAACATAACAAATAAAATTTAAAAAATGGATTTATTTGTTAATCACTTCCTTATGTTCAAAATTCTCAATTCAGAATCTCCATCAATTTGATTTCAATAATTTTTTTAACAACATAAGGAGCACATGGCATAGCGACAACCAGGTTTATTACAAGCACCACAGCACAGTTTTATCATGTCGGTCCAACAAACAGGTCCTCTCTTTATACGTAATCCTCGAAAAGGCTCAATCTAAATATTTTATATCATTAATGCATTAAATTAAAAAATTTTTTTAATTGATCCGAGGCAAAAAAACAAAAGCGACCTTATTTTCAACATTCTCAATGTCAGAAACTCCATCAATTTGATTTGATTCCAAAAAATTGATGAATAATGCCAAAACACAAAAAAATATTATTATTTTAGCCATTTTGTGCTATTAAAATATTTTTTAAATTCTAATAAATAAAAAAATTATTTACTTAATAAATTTATTTTTAAAATATGTAATAATTAAAAAAGATTAAAAATAAAAAAAATATTTAAATAAGAATTTGGACAAATTTTTAATAAAAATGTTAAAAATCTGTTCTTTTAAACTACTAATTAAAGCTTTTGCTAAATATAAAATTTTGACACGCCTTTTGCATTTAAGTATAAACAAAATAAAAATATAAACATAAAATAAATATAAACAAAAAATATGTTTTGGTTTTTGAGATTGTTGCAAAAACAGCCAAAAAATTAATGACTAATCTATTTTGATGGCCATATTTTTTTATTATTTTTAAAATTAATAAAAATAAATTTTATTTAATTTAAACAAAAGTAATATATACATATATATATATATATATAAAATTTAAAAAGTATGGGCACACCAATAAGACGAAAATTGGCATTGCTGGACGAAACCGGAGCCAAGAAATATTTAAGATCTAGAAAAATTTAAAAATTCAATTTTTTATTTACTATAATTTATTAAAAAATTTTTCCAAAAATACTGGTCCAGATTTTTCAACCCCGATCCCGACCTGTATCGGGATTGGCATTCGAAAAAAATCGGAAAGACGGTATCGGGTTCGGGATCATTATCAAAAGTAGTGGGCACACCAATAAGACGTCAATTTCGTAAATATGGAGGCCGGTTTCAAAGTATAATATAATAATTTCAAATAAAGTACGAATCGGAACCCTAGTGTTAGATCATTATATCATCATCATTTTAGATCATTACTATAGTCTGCCATTTGCTATAAATTTGCTTATTTTTTAAAATGTCAATATAAACAAGGTGATTAATTTTCTTAATCGTTTTTCAACTGTGCTTTGATGCACGTACATATCAGCTCTTGTTTTTGCAATATGGCTTTTATAATAAAGGTTAAAAAATTAATAGCATTGCTTATTAGATCAAAAATAATCGCGTTTTTATTTTAATGAATAAGCAAGGTTTGTGAATGAGCAAATGACGCCTTCTTATAATTTTACACAATTGCCATTTTTAAAATAAGCAACTTTTATTTATAGCAAAAAAGTGTCCGTGTAATTAATCTCTTTGTTTAAGTTTCTTAACCGTTGTTATAAAGCCATTTTAGAAAAACAAGAGCTGTTATGTATGTACGTGCATCAAAGCACAGTTGAAAAAGATTAAGAAAATTAATCGCCTTGTTTATATTGCCATTTTAAAAAATAAAAATAATAATTGTCTTCAAAACAAAATAAAGGAAAAATTACTCCCGAAAAATCAACCCATTTTCCCAAAATTTAAAAATGAAACACATTAAGCTGCTCATTCTAATTATTGTCTTCATTTTGATTATTGGTGTATCTGCGTAAGTTTTTAAAATTAAATGTTTGTTTAAAACCGATTTAAAAATTACAAATTTTCTGTTAAATCTGAAAAGTCTCTAGTTTAAAGTAGAAGAAAAGGGATCAAATATATGAATCTATAAACATTTTATAATTTCAGAAAAAGACGTGGTTTTCCCACCAGAGCGAATTGTCCACGTGGAAGTATGGTTTATGAACCTGGCGGATGCTGCGTTTTTGCCGATGGGACCAGAAATTGTGGATAATCAATTTTTTGTGGATAATCAATCAATTTAAAATGATTGAATAATTTTACCTTTATGATATCTTTAACAGTGTTTGAAAAATAATATTGGATAAAGCAAAAGTCCGATTTGACATAAATGCTAGAGACGTCCGAGACCAAAAATTTTGCAGGGCTCAAGCCCAAGACTTTACACCAAGACTTAGACCAACACAAGACCAAGATTAAAGAATTTTAGGGAAAAAATTTTAGAAAAAAATTTTTTTAACTTTACAGCGTCTCAACCGAAAATTTTGGGTTTATAGCTTCATAAGCGCTAAAATCGCTGCCTGGGAACAGACAAATACCCAGGAAAAATATTTAGTCAAAACTTAAGACCAAGAGTCTCGGACTTATCTAATAAATGCTTATATCTTATCTATTTCAAACACTGATCTTTTGAATTTACAACTCTAAAATCGCTTGTGTATTTTCTTAAATAGTTCTCCTGGGATTATTTCTTAATCTACGTCCTTAGAATCGGAATTATAAGTATAATAATATAGAGTGGAGAATTGTTAAAGAAAATATGATAATTTCAAATTTTTAACTCAATGTTAGGGTTTTCCCTCTTTTTTAAATTACCGTATTTTCTCTATTATAAGTAGAATGCAACAAAAAATTAGAATTCCAAAAAGAAAATGGCTAAGTTTGACCCAAATTCACCTTTCTCACCTCTGGGTTTCCGAATTTCAGCTGTCGATAACTCGTCGCATAAAGGTGATATCTAAACTCGACTTCAGATTCGTGATAAAGGGAATATACGGTAATAGGGTTTTTACCTAACATTCGTTTAAATATTTCACTATATTTATAATATCATAAATGTCAAAGCTGTTACTAGATTCTCAATAAACATTTTAGAATCCATGGCCTTATCCGTCCGTCAGTAAACCGAAGAATTTGTTAAAACCGAGAATGCTTGTCATAATTATTAATTCATTATTGACAGGCTTTAAGCAGCTAAAAATGTCCAAAAACATTAATTTATTAAACAAATTTAATTGAAAGTGTTTACAATTTAAATAATATTTAGAAAAAGTTTGTTTTAATAAGTTAATAAAATTTTATATATTCTCCTCTCAAATTTTACATTCTATTTTTCATTATTGTTATTTTAAATTGAAAAGCTGATCTAATCGTTGATTCTGCATTGCAAAATGAAAATTTCACTGTTGGATCATGTTTATTAACGATTTGGTATTTTGTATATTTTACACCAAAAGCACAATTAAAAAGATGTTCAACATTCTTTGCTCTTTCCGTCAATTTAAAATTTGAGGCAGAACGATATTCTAACATAATACAGGGTACGATATTTGAACAATTTGTAGATGTTTTTATATACTAAACTTGAATTTTATCTATGAGAGGCAACAAGGAATAAAGGAAATAATAACTGTTAAAAGGAAGTTAAACCCATCCTGAGGTAAGGCGGAGCTGGACTATAGCTATTTATCTCCTTCAGCTAGTGCAAATGGTTAATCGGCAATTGGGAGCCGGACCAGCATTTTCAGTGGACCGGATGATGTGTTATCCATTACACCGCTCAGCCTGATGCACAGCCTTAGGACATAAATAGCTAAATGCTTTACACTGGCTAAAATGGCATTTTATACTTTAACATTTCGTGACAGTTTTCACTGGGGAATCTAGACAAATCTGGCAAATTTAGCTTTAAACCAAAAAGAAAATTCCAAAAGAAAAATTTTATTCTAGATTATGTTTTCAGACAAATCCGGCAATTCAGGGGGACCGCCCCAGGAACAGGCCCAGGCTTTTCAAAAATCTCGATCTCTACTTTATAATACCTAGAGCACATCTGTAAATAGATAACTTACTTCAACAAGAAGATCATAAAGTTTTGACAAACTATAACTTCTGAAACTATTGATACAAACTTGAAATAATTTATTGCCTTCATTTATTAAAATATTAAATAAAATATCTATATATTTCTTTGAAATGTTATACTCATCAAAAGCGATTTTGAGAGATTCGGAAATTGTTAAATGATTTATAATGAATTTGGAAATATTTTCAATTATATTATTGTTGGCATCTACAGGGTGACCAGAATGTTATTGCACACTTTTCTTTCCATCATAAATTTTTTCCTATTAAAGATAATGATCTAAAATAAAGATTATATGATAGGGAATTGAAGAAGGAACAAATTAAATCAAGAATTTTTGAAGTACCCAACTCTAACTTGGATACAGAGTCGAAGGCGCGTGGAAAAATTTTAGACAAAAGTTCGCAATACTTTGGCGAAGATTTTTTCTCATTCTCGAACGAGTGAAGACAAAAGTGACTCCAAACTTTTGGCTTATTAAGCACAGATCCTTGCCTACAAAATACTAAAAAGTGTAATCGCAGAATTCAAACCCGGTGAGTATTGTAAGCATTCTTGATTGGGTAACGTTGAATCTCTTGGAAAAAGTTCAATTATGGAACAGGGCTTATGGGCCCTGAAGGAGAATTGTTTGGGCTACAAAGTGGGTATAAAAATATCTAAAAATGTAAATTCTGAAAAAAGTTATGATGAAATGAAAAGTGTGCAATAAAATTCTGGTCACCCTGTATAGACAGTTTTTGAATGTTAAATTGAAGAGGAATTGCTTTGTCGTTATCAAATAATAAATTAATTAATTCTGGATTAAACACAATTTTATTAAAGTCGGCATATTCAAAACCACAATTAAAAAGATGTTCTAACCAGCATCGAATAGTAATCATTTCTGATATATTTTTTGGAATGTTGGGCAATTTTAGGTAATACAATCTAGGTTTAGTCGAAAGTACTTTTCTCATAAAACAAATGGCAAATTCTTGGTTAGATCTAAGATCATGTAAAAACAAAGGAATTTGAGTAGCTATCGCTGTTTGCCACTAAAAATTAATTAATTAACAAAAAATATACAAGAAAAATAACCTTCTCAATTACTTGATCATTCAAAGTAAATGGAAATACTCCATTTTCGGGTTCTATAATTTTATCTAACTTTTCATTGATAATCTTGACGTCAACCTTAAATAAATTTAAAAAAAGTTGTAATAGAAAGGTACGGGTCTGCACCAAGCAGGCATCGATCTTATGCCCCTAGCGGCTATTACTAGGCGATTCGCTCACCACTTCGTAGGTGAGCTGCCTGAACCATTCTTTGAACTTTTTTAAAAGATACCGTACTTACACAACTAATTACCCTCCCTCAAATAATTATCCAGCCTCTACTAATTGCTCTCTCCAGCAAATGATTGAGACAATGATAACCCAGGGTAATTGTTTGAGTAAATACAATATCTTAAATCCTTTCCTAGTGAGCGTTTTAAATGATACCAAGATGGATCTTCCTTATTTCTTAAATAATTTTATATTTACTATAGAGAGTTTATCAAATTTCATTCTTGCCATTTTTGTCCAAAATTTATTAATTAAATTTCGAAAGTAGAAATTTGTTTTATCAAAAGAGACTAATTGATTTAAATTAAAACATTTCAATACATCTAGTTGAACTTCAATTGGAAGAGAATACATTTTAATTATCTTAATATATCCAAATTATTTCAGACAAATAAATTATAAACTCAAGGCAAATAATAGAGAATGAGGAGAAAAGGAGAGGTCAAAAATGAGACAAAACTTTAAGGGACAAGCCTGCCTAATGGTGGTCGCTCATATAAATTAAATGGTTCGGACCTTATTAAAAGAGAGAATTGAAAAATTGAAAAATCGTCCATTTAACGAGATATACCTTAAATTAGAGGTATTCTGGAACGGGATTGAATGGACATAACTTTTTTGCTAAGTAATTTTCGCTTCGTTCTCCAGGTTATTGTGTCCTCCCCCCTAGTTAGGATAAATAAATTGAGGGTAATTTTCCTCACAACAATATTTTCTCCTCATACACTCGATAAAAACGATGCCAAGCTATTCATTAGTTGTGCAATAAGCAAAGCTAAATAGCCCTTATGGCGATAGAACAATTATGTATAGACCAACTAAGATTTTCTTAGCTTATTAATTGTCTAGAATAATTTCGAAAACTTGTGTTGGAACTATTGTTTCCACAATAGACCCGCATTTTCTAATTTTAACTAAAAAGTTTAAGAAATAAAATTTGGATCACGTCTATTTTTTAAATAAATAAAATTAAAAATGCAATCTCTACCGACTGAAGTTCAACTTGATGTTTTAAAATGTCTTAATTTCGATCAATTAATCTCATTTAAACAAACTAATTTTTACTTTTGGGAGTTGATTAATAGATATGAAGAAGAATTGGCTCGTATAGAATTCATTTCACTCTCGATAGTAAAAATAATTATTAACTAAATTTTTTACTTAAGGTTGATTTCAGGTTTATTTCGACAGTGTAGAGTTAGACTCATCTAAATTTATTCCACTTAAATCTGGAATTTTTGAATTTACTTTGAATGATCAACTTAAGAAGAAGGTTAAAATAATTTTTCAAATAAGAATAAGGCAGATTTTTTCAGTGGCAAACAGCAATAGATGAATCAATCCCGTTGTATTTACATGATTTTGCTTATGATACAAAATATGTTGTTTGTCTGGACAAAAAACGTTTAAGACAAATAAGTCTCTAGATTAAAGCTGTTTGGCTCTACTCCAGTTTATGCGTCCAATCGACTTTTATGCGTCCAATGAAAGTTTATGCGTCCAATAAAAAGAAAATTGGATTTTTCTTGGTATTGCAAATTGGCTTATGGTTCCACAACATTTCATAATGTTCGGGACCAAAGCCCAATGGGTCTCGGACCATTCCTTACCCTATCCACCGAAATTTTCTAAAGTTAAAATCGTTTTTCTGAATTTTTTAAAAATTGGCTGTAACTTTCAGAAATTTCGAGAGATAGGACAAGGAATGGTCCCAGACCCAGTGGACTGAGGTCCCGAACATAAAGAAATGTTTTGGAACCATACCCAATCTTTGCAATACAAAGAAAAATCCAATTTTCTTTTTATTGGACGCATAAACTTTCATTGGACGCATAAAAGTCGATTGGACGCATAAACTGGAGTAGAGCCATCTGTTTTTATAGATGAAGAACCCTATTATATTCTTGAATTGCCAAACTTTCCAAAAAACATACAAGAAATGATTGTTATTCGATGTTGGATGGAACACCTTTCTAAATGTTGTTTCAGATATACTGATTTTTATAAAACTGCATTTAATCCAGAAATAATTAATTTATTATTTGATAATGACAGAACAGCTCCTCTAAAATTTCAAAATCCCTTGTCCTTTATATTAGCAAGCAACGTTAGATTTGGAAAAGTTCTAAAATTCGTTTCAAATCATTTGACATCATTGAACATTCTTGCTATTAAATTTAAGGGTGCTTACAGTGCAGAGTATTATTTTGATGTTTTAATAGAATTTTTGAAGAATGGAAACAATAACACAAATAAAGTTTGTCTCACAAATTTTGAAAGCTTTGGGGTGATACGGCTTCACAATCTTATTATCAAAGTAAATTATTTACTAATAAGTCACAAATAAATTCAAATTCAAGTATATAAAAACATCTAAGGATTTGTCAAAATTCGTGGCTTCCATTAGTATATCATACTCTTTACCAGAAATTGCCTTATACGAGAGTGAATTAGTTGAACTTGAACAATTCAATAATTTAGAACATAACGAATTCGAAATTGTTAATATTCATAATCCTAAATTCAAATTTTCTTTTAACAATCATCAAGAAACTACTTCTATCAAAAGAATGTAAATAAGAAAGATTGAAACAAAATTTGATAATTTTGAACCTTCCGAGCTACACAGTGTGTCCCTTAGCACATTGTGTCCGTTTAAATAATCAAGAATTCATTTTATTTTATTGTCAACAAATTTATTGTCAACAATCTTTTTGTCAGCAATTTACATAAAAAATATTTTACACAATTGTTTTTAAACAGGGCTTCGATTTCTGCGGATTTTTCCTCATTTTGTGGTTTTTTGATAAAGCGATGAGGATTGTTTTTAAAAATTCGGATTTGCGGATTTTTGTGGTCTTTTGAAGATTATGAGGATTTTTTGTATTTTCTTGTAGTTTTTAGAATAAAATTTCATTTTTTGTATTCCTTGCCTTCCAAAATCCTCAAAATTTTTGCCTGTGGCGCTGAAAAAGGACGATTTTTAGCTTCTTTGACTTCCAAACCCCAAAATTTTTGCCTGCGGCGCTGAAGATGAAGATTTTTCGAGTAAAAAATTCACTACAACTAGGGACAGTGAAAGCATTGGCTCAGGTCAACTGTAATTTTTCATTTAATTTCTCGGATTTTAATAATATAGTTATTACCAGTGAAAAAATTGCTCAATTCAATTGTTGGAGTCAAAAAATATAATGCATAAAGTGATTTTAATTCAAATGTTGTGTTTGATAATTTTTTGCGGATTTTTCATATCAAATGCGGATTTTTTCGATCAAAATTGCGGATTTTTAAAAATTCGAGATCGAAGCCCTGTTTTTAAAACTAAACCAATAAAGAGAACAACACTGTTTGATAGTTTTAAAAATAAAATTTAAATAATTTTTTAATCTAAATTTAAATCTTTTCGTCTTGTCAAATTTATTTTTAAAAATATTTAAAATAAAAAAAATTTATCCGAACAAAACTACAAATTTTGATTTTTAAAAATTTAATCGAAAATAATTTTGTAGTTATTAATTCATAAAAGCCAAATGACAAAATTTTTAAACAAATTTGTAATAAAAACAGAAAGTTAGATCGGAAACCGACAATTTTTATTTTTTAGGCGTTGTTAGTCACAAAACTCCGAACTGTAAATTATAAGATCTAACAATAAGTATGCTTTTTTAAAAGCCTCAATTTGCACTTTCACTCCCATATAAAAAACAAGGTAAAGCGCGTGACCATAACGGAGCAAATGCTTCTAGCTTCATAACTTGCTTCAAGATTTACAAATCTTATCAAATTTAAAATTAAACGATTCCTCTCATCGAGCTAAAAAATTTGAATCAAAATTGATAAGGGCCAGAAATTTTCCAAGTAGTTATGGCTTTGCGCCGTTCTGGCCGCGTCCTACTTGGGCGTACCTCTAAAAATCATATCTGAAAAATATAGATTAAAAAAGCATGAAAATAAAGTCCGTCTAGAAATTATGAGACCACGTATTTTTTGTGGGCCGCACAAATTTCCAACTGATTAAATGGGATAAACCTTTACTATTATTGGATATTCTGTAAATATTGTGATATTGAAAGTCTCAACTTAGAAAATAGAATTGAATGACTACAAATAATGAATGGTCTTATAATTTCTTAACAGACTTTATGTATAAACTAGAGACCGGCAAAATCGCACTTCCGGGATCCCGAGTCTGGATTTTTTCTTAACCGATGCCAGGACGGTATCCCGAGGGAGAAATCCCGAGAAAATCCCGAATTTCAAAAATCCCGAAAAAAATTATCCGGGATCCCGCCCGGGATTCAGGATTTTTTTCAAAATAAAAAATTTAAACATTTTATGAATAAAGTGCATAAAATACTGCAATTTATATGTAAATAAAATTAAATTTGTAAAAATATCAATAATTTTTTATAATTGGATTGTCCTCCTCCTTTAATTCGCTCTATAATGGATTTAGAGGGATATCGGTGGATTAATCACTAGGTCCCTTGATAAAATCCCACTATATACTAATATCCCTCCGCTTTATCTCCAGTAAAGACTCCAATTATCTCCCATTTTTAGCGCCGCAGGCGAAAATTTGGGGAATTTTGGAAGATCCTTAAGCCAAAAATCTTCCTTCCAGGCGCCGCAGGCGAAAATTTTGAGAATTTTTAAAGGACAAGAGGTCAGATTTCTTCTTTTTTCTGCGCCGCAGGCTAAAATTTTGAAAATTATAAAAATCCCGAAAATTATAAAAAATATCCAGGATCCCGAGTCGGGATTTTATTTTTTAACCGATGCCGGGACGGGATCCCGAGGGAGAAATCCCGAAAAAATCCCGGATCCCGAATGATCCCGAAAATCAAAAAAATCCGGGATTTCGGGACCGGGATCCCGGAAAATCCCGTCGGGATCCCGTCCCGCGCCGGTCTCTAGTATAAACTTTATTTATTATTTCCATTTAGCATAATGTGTTTTAGTTAAAAAATGAGCTCTGAAGTTAAATGCACTAGAAAAATCTAAAAAACATTTAAATAGCAAATTCTTTGCATAGTAGTGTGGATATAATATAGGATATAATCTAACGGTATCAGAAATAATCCATGTTTGAATTTTAAGCGGTAAGTATTCCAAATTATATTTCTTACAACCAGTACATTTTTCGTTACATTTAGTTTGAGATCGAAGAAGCTTCTCAAAACCAAGTGCCCAATCATGACAATTAAGTTTTAATAATGCATATTTTTCTTGTTCAAAGATGTAATACACATCAGTTTTTACTTTCGATGATAGTTCCTCAACTTTAGAAAATGTTAATCCTTCAGTGCAATGAACTTTCCAAGCATAAATCACTTTTGATTTATCTGGCCTTCCAAAACTGAAATATTGTACATTATTAGTATGCATATATAATCATGACAATTTACTATTTAACTCTTAGGTAAATAGGCAAAGAATAATAAAGGTACTAAATAGAGACTGACTTGGAGTGGCGAGAATCAGATTATATCGAACAATATTGCTCTAACGACTCAGCTCAATGAGTCGCTAGGAGGGGAATTCCGTGAAGCTTATAAAACCCGGTGAGAATTTTAAAAAAGTTTGAAAAGCCTACTTTACACGTTCTCCTTCACGCGCAAAGTCATAAGATTTGTAGAATATTTCATTACATTTATTACATTTATATTTAACCACAACAATCGAATGTGTAGCTCCTTAAAATGGATGATTATGTCTAGTGGTAAATTTATATTTAAAAATAAATTTACCATAACAGAAAGTACGATTGCGCCAGATTTCAATTAGAGTGGAATCTTTGTAATGTTCACAAGGTTCAGAATCACTAAATTTAATAAAATTTGTTTTACTCTTCAAAATTATCGTTTTAGATCAACTTATCTCCCAATTTTACTTAAGGTATTCAGAAATAAAGAATTTACTTTCAAAAATTAACATACCTACGCCAACTATTACCATTTTTTGAATTTAAGCTTCCCATTTTTAAATAATTGTGTCTTTAGATTAAACAGAATGTTAATGTAATTTGAAAAAAATAAGAAAATAAACAAAATCTAGCCGATTTTTCTGAATGAAGGAAAATTATGTGTAAAAAATAAATGTATATTGGATAAACAATGTGTGTTGAAAATAATTTCAATAGATTGAATGGTAAAATATCTAGAAGGAAAAAAACAAAAGATAAATTGCTAATTTTGTGTAAAAATGTAAGTAGAAGTGTAAATGAATTTAAAAAATAAAATTTTAACTTTTTAAAAGTGTAGAATAAAATAGATAAAATCAACACAAAGGGTTGCCATACTTGATTTTTTATTAAATAAAATTATGCAATATTATTCCCTAGAATTTATTTAAAGTTACAACAAATCGACAACCCAAACCAAAAATCTCCAATTTTTTGTTTTAATCTTATATTCGTTTTTTGGTTTGATTAAGTTTGAAATCGATAACCCTAATCATTAGTTTACTTTTACAAAATATCGCAAGATATGAGTTATCGCGAGATAATTTTAAAAATATCGCGAGATTATTGGATATATTTTTAAACATTTCATAGTCCGTTTTTGTTTATTTAGATTCCGTCCATACATGTTTTTCGGTCATAAATGAAAGATACTAAAACTAAACACATAATTATGAGAATGGAAGTTGGGAAAAACCACTGGGAAAAATATAAAATTTTAATTTGCAAAGATCAACGCGAATCAAAAAATTTTCAAACCTAATATGTTTGCCATAATACAATTTGAAATTATCAAAAGCTCTTCGAAACGAGTTTGTTATCGAACTTATTTTAATGATTTCATGATAGTTTGCTTGAAAAAATTAAAAATATAAAAATTTAAAAAATTAATTATAAACTTATTTTTTGGATAATTTACTCTAAATATAACAGTTTTTATAAAATTGTTTTCTAATTTTTTAAAGATTGAAATTTTAATAGCCTTAATTTAATTCAATAAAGCGGATTGCACATTTCTAAGTCAGATACAATTTTATTTTTTATTTCTAAAAATTCATTTGCATTATTTCTATTTACAATTTTTATTTGAGCAAAATCATCTGCTGTTTTTTTCTTTTTTTTTTAATTTATCTAATATTTATATGTATTAAACTTTTGTTTATTTTTGACATATGTAGAATTTTTTATTCAAAAAAAATCGGTTGGATGCTAACTTTTTATATGTTTATTTTTGACAAATTACAGATTTTAATATAAATAATTGTAAAATTTATATTTAGTTATAAATTTGTTGTTTACTTTTTTAATAATTATTTCCGTTAAAATTTCTTACAAGGGGACATTGTTTACTGTAAGTGCGAATTTGCTATATTTTTTGATACCATTCGACAGAGGTCGCCCTGAATTGCCATATCTGTATAAAAACAATTGAGAATACTACTTATTTAAAAGTATTTTTAATAAAATTATTTTGATATTTTTAGATGTTTTAAGCCTGTTAATTTATTTAAACAATAATTTTTTTCAGCAAATAAATTTCAAAATTAAATTGTCAAAATTTTTTAAATCACTTTATATTCCCATAATCCCCTCCTTATATTACTTTTAATCTATCCAAATACACGATACAAGGAAACGAATAAGTTTTCATGAAAACGAATAAAACTTTGCAATAGGATAACGGGGGTCATCTATCAAATGGTACCAATTAAAACAATCTGACTTTTAACATTTGTATGATTTCCGATGTTACAAAAATTTTTAAAAATTAAACTTTTATATCAAAGTTATCATTATATTTCTCATTTAAAAAGTATCCTTTAATTATTTCACTTCAATTATTATTTTAATGCTTGGATTGAAACAACTGGAGTAGTAGTTATTCTCGAAAACAAAAATTTTTTGATGGAATTGTGGTAGTCTTTGCTAAATAAATTTTATTAAATTTCAACTAAATTATTTAAATAAGTTGGGGTCATTTTGACCTCATTTTTTTGGGGTCATTTTGACCTCGGTTGTCTATAAGTCGGTCCTATCAGATTAGGTTGATTTTGCTGTGTTTCGACTCAGCTCAAAGAGCTCTTTCGACTGAGCTATAATTTGTGTTTTTGGGGTGAATTATGAAGAAAATGAAGTGATTAATAAGAATTTAGGGGTTTAAGAAAGAGATTTAGGATTAACGGGTTATTGGATTAAGGGGCTTATTAATTGATTAATTAACTTTTAGGATATTTAATTTATACTTAATGTGTTTATTAGTATACATGTATTTATTAGTATACATCTTCATAATCCACCTTCGTAAACAACTATCCATTCAAATTATCCTTTCAAATCCATTCAATAAATATTTCGGCTTTACAATTTTATGTATGAATAGTTTTTAAGAACAAAAAATACTTATATCTCGTGTCTCGTGAAATCTCGTATTTTTTGAGAGATCTCGTATCTCGTTTTATCTCTTTCTGTATTTTTTTGAGAATCTCGCATCTTTTGTCACGTATTTTGCGGCACGAGCTCCACCCCTGGTATATACATACCATTCGAAAGCTTAATTCGTATCTCGTTTGACATGTTTCAGCATTTTATTTAAAAATTTAAAATTTCTGAGAGTATTAACATAATACGTAAAAAATATCTAAAGGCTGTTATTTTTTCAAACCTGCAATTATAAAGAACGAAAGTATTGGCACATCCAACAAAAGTCAAAATTAAATCAAAGCAATTTATGATTATAAAACCTAAAGGGTAAGGACTTGGAAAAATTATTGGAACTAATTGACGACTGATAGAAGTACATATCCATCCAAAAATTATCATTAATAAAATAATCATTATAGATTTGTTTACTCCTTCATGTTTTTTGACGTTATTTTGAGTAGTTGGAGCCTTTTTTCGAAAACGCAGTCGAATAAATATCAAAATATAACAAAACACTGCAGCAGCTGTTAATGTAAGACAAATACGTAAAAGTATATCCCCATAAACACCATTCCAAAAATCAGCAATGGAACAACGCAACATTCTAAATTAATATTTTTAGCACATTCAAACGAAAAATATATGTATTTAAAATCAGCCAGAAATCAAAATAAGAAGGAAAATATTAGTAAAGGGACGTGAGATCGGCAATTTTTCGGTAAACTGCCTCGGAGGATACTTGCCACTCGGTGTGCTATCTTTTTTCATTTATTTGGTTAATAGTCGAATTTTTCTGAGAATATAGGGCATGAGTCCTAGTTCATTTTAAGCCATAATATGAATTGATTCTCCGTCCAGAATAGCTCGCATCTCGCTTTTTCTCATCAAAACCCATGGATTTGAGTATACTCGCAATTTAGCCCGGTTCACGTCCTCGGGCGTGCCTACTGATTAAGTTCTGTCACTTTTATTAAAGAGAACAGTCACCAAAAAAATTTGGTACTTTCCTTCAAAATTAACTTAATAGATGAAGTTTAAGGGAAATATTTTTTTATATTAATCAAAGATTTCAAACGTCGAGTTATTATTTGCTGAATATATAACAGCAAAATATGAAAGCAAAATGCCAACAGCCACTGCAATTGTACACAACAAAGATAAATAACTTTTAATAGCCAGATTTCGATGCCTTAATTTAAATTTAATTTTAGTTAGTTTAAACAGACTAATTTTAAAAAATTTGTCTTTTGGAAATAGATAACCTCTCAAATTAAGTATAATTCAAACCTATGTTTTCGAAACTATAATATAAAGTCCGTGTCCGGACAATGCGATAGTGGATTGATAATCGGTCAATGAAATATATAGGGGGATTATGGGACATACAGTACCCACATCGATAGATTTGTGGGGATTAAGAGGATTTTGATTAGGGGTTTATTTTTACTATTAATGGAATGAATGAATGAAAATACCAAATAGGGAAAAACACAGCAAGTAAACGATCAAACCCAATAAAAAATACAAAAACAAAGGACATATGAAAAGCAGTAATTGGAGCAATATTAAACCATAAACATTGGTTTCTTGTTACTTTAAATTTTCCATAAATTGCATAAAGAATTGAGGCAATTATGCCAGTGGAAGCAACAATTAAATCACAAAATGCGTTTATTCCAAGTAAATAAAAACAACTTGAATTAAGCGCTCTTAATGTTTAAATGATAATTTTGAAAGAAAATTTAAAAATACTTTTTGAATTTAACTGTAATTAAAACAAGAAATCCATTAGACAATACAGAGATAATGCTCAGAACTAACAGCACAAGTATATCTATCAAAGTAAAAATGTCTTGATATTCAGGACATTGACAGGTTGGAGAAAGCTAGAATTTGTTTTAAATTTTTTATTTAAAAGCTTACAGGATCTCCTGTTCCATTTGCATTCATTTGTTAGTATTTAAAATTTAACACAAAATTTTAAATTTGTGTTAATAAAGCAACG